CAAGTGGTATCAGAGCCCCGTTACCAGTCAGAAAGGGCTTAACAACCTCTGGTAGATCCAAGGATGGCGTCTGGGTCAATAAGCAATGCCCCTCTGTATCTCGCCGATGGCTTCTCTCAGAAACGACCCCCGAGATTCGAAGGAGTAAATTATGGGTATTGGAAAAATCGCATGGAGTTGTTCGTCGGATCTACGGATCCCAAATTGTGGGCCAGAGTGATCAAGGGTCCTCATGAACTTAAGGACGATCAAGAAAAATGGTCAGATGAAGATTTCGAGAAGTTCCAGCAAAACTATAAGGCGACTAATTTGATGTATTGCGCGCTGGGACCAGAGGAGTACCACAAAGTGGCTGGATGCAAGACAGCCAAAGAAATATGGGACAAGCTGCAAGTCACTTATGAAGGTACCTCTCAAGTTAAAATCTCTCGAAAAATTCGTTGAAACATCAGTTTGAATTATTCAAGATGGAAGAGGGAGAGTCGATCAGGCAAATGTATGAAAGATTTACCAATATCATGAACAGCCTGGAGAATTTAGGAAAATCATACGAAAGTGGTGATTTGGTGAGGAAAATCTTATGGTATTTTCCTGAGAAGTGGACTCCAAAAGTAACAACCATAGAAGAAGTAAAGAATCTTGAGACATTAGCCATAGATGAATTGATTGGATCACTGGCTACACAAGAAGAGAAGTTAATTAAGACAGGACATGAGAAGGAAATCAGCGAGAAGGGAAAAAGAGGAGTGGCATTCAAAGCCACTAGCCTTGTTGATGAACCTGAAGAACTTGATGAAATGGAAGATGAAGAGCTTGCACTGTTAAGCAAGCAGATAAGCAGACTAATTAGAATCAGAAGAGCAAAGAAACAAGTTGGTTATGGAAATAAGCCAAAGGAATTCGAAAAGAATTATGGTGTGGGAAAAACTGCACAAGGGAAAACTTTCACAATAAATCGAAGTGAGTCGAGTTCAGCAACAAAGGGGGTAAGCTCTACAGGATGTTTCAAGTGCGGCAGAATGGGGCACATTAAAGCTGAGTGCCCTCAGTTGAAAAAGGAGAGAGCTTTAGCAGCAACTTGGAGTTGTAGTGAGGATGAAGACGAAGATTATGATGAGGTAACCATTCACAGGTCATACATGGCAGTTGCTCAAATGGAGGAAGAAGATGGAGACCCTACATCACCAGTATCCTTGTCCCAGGTAAGACCAACTAAACTAGAACAATTATGCAACTCTGAAGATGATATACTGGTCGAAATGATTAATGACATTCTGATAGAATTTGAAAATGTTAAAAACAAATACAGTAAATTAAAGAAAGAAAATGAGGTTAATCTCAAAAGATTAACAGAATTAGAGAAGGAATTAGAATTTAGTAAACTTAGAGAGAATTCACTCAATAATAGTTTACTGCAAATAAAGGAAGAAAAGGAAGAGTTTCAACATGAATGTGCAAATCTTAAAAGAAAATTACAAGAAAGCAGAAATCATCATGAAACTCAGTATGGAAAAGGAATTAATAGTAATCAAAAATTGGTAGAATGCTACTATTGTCACTCATATGGTCACAGAATCAAGGATTGCAGAAAAAGACTTAGGTAAGAAACTGTAAAAAACACGAATGCATCTTGGTCTCAGTATCCAATCAATCAAGTTTGGGCAGTTAAATCCAAAATTGAGAGGAAGAACAATGTTGCACCTGAATATAATCATGTTGAGCATTATTCCGAAATCACAAATGCACCCAAGAAGATCTGGATTTGCAAAACAAAATGAATGTTGTGTTTGCAGAGTTGCCTTCAAGTGAGCACGGAGGTGACTAAATGGATCATGGACAGTGGGTGCTCACACCATATGACAGGTAATAAACATCTTTTCTCAACTCTTAAGCTAGGAAATTTTGGTAAAGTCTACTTTGGTGATAACAACTCTGCTGAAATTGTTGGTAAAGGTCAAGTGGGAATCAGTCCCTGTATAAGAAATGTAATGCTAGTGGAAGGGTTAAAACATAACCTAATTTCCATAAGCCATATGTGTGGGAAGGATAATCGTGTAATTTTTGAGTCAACCTGTTGCTATGTGGAAAATGTTAAAAGTAAACAAATCTTATTCACAGGCAAGAGGAGTGGAAAATTTTATACCATTGATCTAAATGACAAGAGTAGCTTTAATGAATTATGCTTAGTTAGCATGGAATCTAGTGAACAGCAAGATTGGCAGAGAAGGCTTGGCCATGTCAATGTTGTTGTCCTATCCAAACTGGCTAGGATGAATCTAGTTAATGGTTTGCCAAGAATCAACGAGAAGAAGGGCTTCTTTTGTGATGCTTGTGCTAAAGGAAAACAAACCAAGTCAAGCTTTAAAAGTAAACCAGTCATGTCCACATCTAGAATTTTAGAACTACTGCATCTTGATTTATTTGGTCCTGCAAATGTGGTCAGTTATGGTGGGAAATCCTATGCATTTGTTATTATGGATGATTACTCGAGATTTACATGGGTGCTATTCTTGGCTAAGAAAGATGAAGCGCTGGAAAACTTCAAAACTTTTGTAAAAAGGTTGAAAATGAGAAGTTAAGTAAAATTGCCAGTATCAGAAGTGACCATGGAGGGGAATTCTGTTCTTATATGTTTGAGCAACTATGTAATGATTCAGGAATCTCACATAACTTCTCTGCTCCTAGGACTCCACAAAAAATGGAGTAGTGGAACGAAAGAATAGAACTTTAATTAATATTGCACGCAATATGCTTCATGACTACAACCTGCCTAAGTATTTTTGGGCAGAGGCAGTTAATACAGCATGTTATATAACAAATCGAGCACTAATCAGATCAACCTTAAATAAAACTCCATATGAAATATGGAGAGGAAGGAAGCCTAACTTAGGATACTTTCACCCATTTGGGTGTAAGTGTTATGCCTTGAATACCAAGGACAATCTAGGGAAGTTCGATGCAAGATCTGATGAGTCGGTATTCTTGGGATACTCGAATTCAAGTAAGGCATACAGGATTTTTAACAAGCGGACCCTCAAGGTTGAGGAGTCCGCCAACGTGATATTTGATGAGGGTGTTGTTGAGTGTACAGATATACTCGACGATGATGACTTTGGGCTTGGAACGAGTATCACGCAGAATAAACCAGGATCAGCAGAAGCATCTCAAGCCAAGAACTCAGAGGAGTCTTTTTCAAACGAGAAAGAGGTACCAGTCTTAGACAAGTCAAAAGAAACAGAGATTGACATGGAAGATGAATAAGAAAGAAACTCGGAACAACCTCCTCCACACATAGTCAAGCGACATCCTCCCAGCCAGATTATTGGAGGACTGGACCAAGGTATGACAACTCGCTCCATGATTTTACCATCCTTAGCAGCTTTTGTGTCTTTAATCGAACCTAAAAATGTAGAAGAAGCTCTTCAGGATGAATTCTGGACAGCTTCTATGTTTGAAGAGATGAACCAGTTTGAACGTGCAAATGTGTGGGAATTGGTACCTAAACTTGAAAATTGAGCAATAATTGGAACTAAATGGATTTATAAAAACAAGTCAGACGAGATACGAACTATAATTAGGAACAAATCTCGGTTGGTGGCACAAGGATATTTTCAGGAAGAGGGAATAGACTTTGAAGAAACTTTTGCCCCTGTTGCAAGGTTAGAAGCAATTCGTATGCTATGTGCCTTTGCCAGTTCTAAAGGATTTAAACTGTTCCAAATGGATGTAAAAAACGCTTTTAAATGGAGATTTAAAAGAAGAAGTATATGTGTCTCAACCTCCAGGTTTTGAAAACCACAATTATCCCAATCGTGTATATAAGCTAAAGAAAGCATTATATGGGTTAAAGCAAGCTCCCAGAGCTTGGTATGACAAACTCAGCTCATTTCTGATAGAAAATAGGTTTAGGAGAGGCAAGGTAGACAAGACTTTGTTCATTAAACAAGAAAAAGAACATATTTTGTTAGTGCAAGTGTATGTGGATGACATCATTTTTGGGTCTACAAGTGAAAAGCTTTGCAAAGATTTTGAAATAAAAATGAAAAGTGCTTTCGAGATGAGTCTATTGGAGAATTAAACTTCTTTCTAGGGCTTCAGATCAAACAAACACGTGCTAGAACGTTTATTTGTCAAACCAAATATCTTCAGAACATGTTAAAATGGTTTGATTTTGGAAACTTAAAGACAGCTATAACCCCCATGGCAGCAAATACTAAACTAGATAAGGATGATTCAGGAACAGCAGTAAATGAAAAAATGTTCAGAGGAATGATAGGGTCTCTGTTATACCTGACTGCTAGTCGTCCAGATATCATATTTAGTGTTTGTGTGTGTGCTCGGTTCCAGAGTTCACCTAAACAGAGTCATTTAAGTGCTGTCAAAAGAATTTTTAGATACCTGTGTGGGTGTCCTGATCTTGGTCTGTGGTAATCCCATGACTCTAGTTTAGAACTCTTAGGGTCTTCGGATGCTGATTTTGCAGGATGTGTCTTAGATCGAAAAAGTACTTCAGGAACATGTCAGTTTCTTGGCACTTCTTTGGTATCCTGCTTCAGTAAGAAACAAAACTCAGTCGCTTTGTCAACAGCTGAAGCTGAGTACATTGCAGCAGGATGCTGTTGTACTCAGATTCTCTGGATGAAGCATCAACTTCAAGATTATGGTTTGTATCCTAGCTCAGTACCTGTGTTGTGTGATAACACAAGCTCAATAAATATGACAAAAAATCCAGTCCAACATTCACGAACTAAACACATTGACATTCGTTATCACTTTATTCTTGAATTAGTAGAGGAAGGTCAAATAGGATTAGAATTTGTTCCAACCTCATGTCAGTGGGCTGATATTTTCACAAAGCCCTTGGGCTCGGAATCCTTCATTCGTATATGTCGAGAGCTAGGGTTATCCACCCTAAATGACATAGTTAATTTGTCACCTATGTTCCAGGAATCTTCTAATTAATCTGAGTTACCTATTCCACTTAGATTTCCAAAGGTCCGCTCAATCTCAAGATTCTTCTTAAATTATGATTTGAGCTACCCCTCCTAATCATAATTCCCATAATTCTTGGAATCTCTTTTCTTCCGGAGCAAGCTTCATTACATTCCTTATTCATATATTACATTCTCTCAATAAACTCTCTTCTCCACTTTAAAAAGGGGTCAAGGTCGAGACCCTCATCTCATCTCACACAAAGTATCATTTCACTCTCTCAACTGAAAAATCTCATGGCTGCTTCCAACAATCACGGGTGATATTCTTCCAAATCGAAACTTTGGGTTTCGTCCTGAGGCAGTACGAATGTTCTACTCTAACATGAAGCCTTGTCTCCATGTTTCTCCCCCATGCTTCACAATGATAGTGTACAATTATTTGATCACCATCAATGTGGAACTTTTATCACTTTTGCTTGGCATACCCATCACTGGAGCAGAAGTCATGAATGAGTTGGACTTTCACTCTGTTGAATTCAATGTGGGAGATGCTCTGCGTTTGTATACCCGTGACACAGGTCGTTACTACCCCTCGGAATTCCATTCTGGTAGACTTCCTGATGACCTCAAAGTTTTGCATTTCTACATCACCCTATGCTTTCTGCCTAGATCCTTTGGGCTCAATACTATCTATCCATCAGACCTATGGATTCTTGCTAGTGCCAAGGAGAATCGGGTCATCAGTTACCCACATCTAATGTTTGACCACATGCTGACAACTATAATGCCGAGCTTCCCTTTGCTCCACAAATCACTCAGATTCTGCTGGCCTTAGGATTAGATCTCCGTTTTAAGGTGGCTCGTGTAGATATACTCAGTTCTCTTCATGCTCAATTCATCCTGCGTAAGGTGGATGCATCGGTGGGTCGTCGTCGCCCGCTGATCAATGCTCCAGGGGGAGAATCAGCTGCTGGAGTTCCCTCTGATCAGGATGGACTCCATCTGTCTAAGCTGGGTGGGGATGAAGCTGTGGAAGAACCAGATATGGCAGATCCGGTTAGCATAGTCGGAGATAATGGAAAGCGACCCATGGTGGATCCTTTGGAAACGGTTCAAGCCATGTTCAGGCATGAGGAAGCAAGCAGCAGCAATAGAAATCTGATGATGGAGGATGAAGAGGCTATATCAGATTATGTGCCATCACCTAGGTTTTCCTTTTAAATGGAGCATTAAGCTCAGGGGGAGTCGAGGTTAAGCTTAGAGGGAGTCAAGAAACTAATCCTTGTGGGGATTAAGTTGGTCGGATTGAGTGTCTTAGGGGTTGCTGTACTAATCTTGAATAATGCTCTGTTTGAGCTTGTGTCATTTTATTTTTGATTATGTGTCTGGATCTTCTTGAGTTTCAACGTCAAATAGTTTAATAAAATGGTGTATGTTTTGAGTTCTTATCTAGTTTGAACTACTTAAGTAGAATTTTTTTTAGAACAGTCTGCACGCAACAGTTTGTTAAAGTGTGTGCAGGAACTCCACATACAGCTGAGAGGATCATTGACTGGCTTAGGGGGAGATTGTTGACAAGTAAGCCAGTCATTTACCTCAAAATCAAGAAAAGGATATCGTGGCTTTGGAGGAGCTGCATTTGGAAAGAAGTACTTATGCAAGGAAAGCAGATTTGAGTGAATTGGAAGGCTTGATTAGATGAGGCATTTCAGGAAGGAATTCAAAGGAGAAGACCTACCTTCTTGGAGTACAACGGCTAGCAAGTATGAAGTACAAATAGCTCGATCAAGGATCAATACAGGACACTTTTCGAGAGATCAAGACACACGGGTGAGGCTAAGGAAATAGCTAGTGTGATTGATAGTGAAAAGACAGCTTTGACATTGATTCTGGAGTGAAACAGTGTTAGAGAGGAAGAGTGTTGGAAAACACAGAAGCTGGATAGCTTGGGTATTGGGAGTTAGTTGTTAGAAGGTAGATTAACCATCCTGGATTGGACTGGTTAAGCTAGTGAGTGTAGAGTCATCATCGAACCAAAAGCATCATACCTAGTGAATCGTTGATATCACAAATCGTGATTCTCCAACCGTGGAATAGTCAGTATTGGGATTCTCATTCTCCAATACTGAAAACCACGAAAAAACTGAGCATGTGTCCTTCAATTCTGCATTTTAGTTTCTGCTCTTGTGCCTATACTCTGTTTTGCTCATGCCATACTCTGTTTTGTAGTGTTCAGTGTATAACTTGCACAGGGAATCAGCTCGTAGCAAAGGAAGAAGAAGCTGCTGAAGAAGTTAAGTCGAAACGCATCGTTTTATTGTAATTATTTGTGCACAGGCCTTGTAACGAGAGTGGGCCTGGTAAACCGAGCCCAATACAAAGTGCAGTGTCTCTAATTAACAACAAACATTCAATATGCTTACCGAATTAGTTTCAATCAAAATCATTTCTTCTCAATCTCACTTGATCTTCCCAAAAGGCTGCCTAGGATTTCTCAGGAGCTAGTTTTAGCAGAAAGGGGAAACAGGCTTCTCGCGCTCGAAGCCAACAACATCCACCACACTCTCGGGGCGAGGCTTGTAGCCTCCCATCTTAGGCTCCATGAATTAGCCCTCTTAATTGACACTTCGCTTTGGTCTTCTCCTTCCTTCTGGCTAAAGCTTCTTTCATCTTTTTCCTCCAAGCATTCTTCCTCTTCTCCTTGGGCATAGTACCTTCCTTCACTTCCTGCTCACAATTACCAAAAGCAACACAAGTAATGGTGGGGTTTGCCTTGAGAGGCTCTCCTCCACTCTCATTCACATCATTTGAAAGCACTTCCTTCACTTCATCACTTCTAACCTTAGGGTCAATTTCAAGCTTGATTCTCTCCTTACCATCCCTCGGAATTAAGGTCCCCTCATTAACGTCTATCAATGCCTGTACGGTGACAAGAAAGGGACGACCGAGGATGAGTGGCATATCCGAGTCCTCACTTATGTCGAGAATCATGAAATCGCTCGAATAGCAAATCTTGCCCACTCTCGCCATCATGTCCTCCGCAATACCCCTCGAGCTAATGATCGAACGGTCGGCTAAGGTGATGCTAAGCTTAGAGGACTTAAGTTCACCTACTTCTAACTTTTTGAAAAGCTTGTAGAGCATCACATTAACACTAGCTCCTATGTCCTCCAAGGCATTGTCTATATGATGGTTACCAATATGAAGAGAGATAGTAAAGCTACCTGGGTCCCACCGCTTTTTGGGCAAGCGGTTGAGGAGGTTAGCCAAACACTCCTCGCCAAGAGTCACGTTGGCGAGGTCTTTGAGCTTTGTCTTCTTGGTGAGGAATACTTTGAGGTACTTGACATATGTTGGCATTTGAGCCATGGCTTCAAGGAAAGGGATGTCGAGGTGGAGGTTGCGGAGCATTTCCATGAAACCTCCACACTCGTCCTCCAACCTCTCCTTGTACATCCTCGTGGGATAAGGAAGAGGTGGCTTGTACTCCTCCACTGGCGATGCCTTCCTTGCCACCTTCCTCTCATTCCTTGAGGGCTTCTTCTCTACCTTCTCCGGGTTGGTATCTTCCTTCACCTTCACTTCTTCAGTTGCGACTTCCGAAATCACCTTCACATTCCTCACTTGAAGTGCATTCACCCCGGCGTGGTTGTTGGGGTTCGCCATGGTTTGGGAAGGTTTAGCTCCCTTCGATCTCTCGTGAGGATGCCAACAAGGTTGTTGATTTGCACCTCCAAGCTTTGGAGGTTCGCTTTATGGCTTTGGAGACCTGCCTGAACCAAGGCAAACTCGGTAGTCGACACTTCTATAAATTGCTCTATCTTCTCAAACTTTTGAGCACTTGTACTCACAAAGTTGTTCACTAGGTCTTCAAGCATAGATATTTTGTCGGGTTGTTGTTGTTGTTGAAACCCTAGGCCACCTTGTGCTTGGTACGGTTGTTGGAAGCTTGAGCCTTGGACTTGGGGCCTTTGTTCGATGAACGTCGGTCGAGGTTGAAAATTTCCCGTGGGACCTTGAAAACCCAGGGACCTCGTATTTTTCAGCGATGTCCAAGCAAAGTTGGGGTGGTTCCTCCATCCGGGGTTATAAGTATTGCTATACGGGCTGTTGACCCTAGCATTTGCGACAAAGTTGACTTGTTCCTCCGGAGCGGTTGCCTCCTTCATTGCTTTACACTCTGCCTTCTTGTGGCTGGTGCTTGAGCACTAGTCGCACGACATCACCGGCCTTTTTCCTTGCCTCTTATCTTCAAGCATAACCTCTATCAACTTATCCAACTTCGCCTCAAGCAGAGCACTCACTCCCACGCTTCTCACTCTCCTATCATTGCTTCTTCTTCCACTTCTAGTCAACCCCCAATCATACACCCCAAGGGCCATGTCTTCTAGTATCTCGGTTATTTGGGGTGGAGCCATATTCATCAATTTCCCTTGACACAAGGAGTCAATGAGAATTTTATCTTCTTGCAATAGGCCTTCGTAGAAGGTTTCGATCTGAAAACGTTCTTCAAACCCGTGGCGAGGGCACTAAATAAAATAGTCGGAGTACCTCTCCTAAGCATCCCTCAAGGTCTCGTCCTCTTCTTGCTCGAAATTTGTTATCTTCTTTCTCCACTCCACCGTCTTCAAAGAAGGGCAGTAGCGAGCCATAAACTTGTTAAGGAGGTCGTCCCATGAGGTGATTGACCGAGGTTGGGGGTTGTTAAGCCACCTAAGCGCTTTCCCCGAAGGTGAATACGGGAAAAGCCTTAGTTGCAAAGCTTCGGCCGACACACCATTGAAGCTTCACGCGAGCTCCAAGAATCTCTGTACGTTCTCTCTTGGTGACTCGCTCTCAAGGCCATAGAATAAAGCATTGCTTTGTATCATAGTCACTAGAGCTGGCTTGATCTCGAAATTGTTTGCCACCACTGGAGGATCTGGAGGATGTAGGATTGGCGATTGAATGTCCGGCAGCCTTGGGGCCATAAAGATCCCATCATCCTCGGGGGCTTCCTCTTCCTCCACCGCATCATTCAGTTGACGAGCTTGGGCTCCATCTTGCCTTTGGTTCCCCGCAATTTCTACTACAACGATGGGTTCAACTTCCCCTTCTTCAACTTCTTCTCCACTAACACTGGGACCCAAATGTTGTCCCCTTATTTCACTCATTCTCCTTGCCTCCACTAGCTATCTCTCCCTTGCTAGGAGACGGAGAGTTTGATTTATCTCCTTGTCAAGTGGTAGGAGAGGTGCCGGGTTACTCCGGGTCATGCACCACCTACACACAATCGGAAAACACACCAAGTCTAGCACAAGCAAAGCGCACACACGTTAAAAACTTGAAATTAAAAGCTAGATTAACACCAAACAAATTTTTCAAGATAACAGACCGGTGTCCCCGGCAACGGTGCAAAAAACATGACTTGTCCCGAATACCACAATCATTTCCCGCCTAAGGTCCAAGTATAAACCTTAGTCGGGTGCAATATAGGATAAGTATGTTTAAATATCAACCTAGGTCGGTCCGTCTACCCCTACATCAGTCATTTGAATCATTATCTAGCAATAAATTTTTGGTTGAAAAGTTTGCTAATTAGAGTAAAACAAGAAAAAGGTGAATGGTTTTGAAAGCTCTTTTGTGGAAGGATCGCTCGGTGTCGCTTCCCCCTAAATACTACCATGGTATGCGAACCGAAATAATTGTTATGGGAAAGGTGATTGCTAACCGCTAGGGGACGCAAATATGGTCGTAGACCACGCTCATGATTGCTAAACCGAGGCATGCATTAAAGGTTGTCACTAGGCCCTCTTGGTTTAGGCAATCAATGGTTGACTTACTCCCTCACTCAATGCAAAGGTTGGACAGCTTAATGGCGCTTAACCAAATTGTTTAATCCAATATTTAGGTTTGCTCTAAATTAACCTAGTTAGAAGACTTAAAAAGCCCTAGGGATACCAACTCAATTGAGACTCCCTTGGAAGGGGGGCTTCCCTCTCTAATCTAGGTTAAGTGGCTAATTAGATTGGTAAGCATAGACGTTCACAATCCTTAGGTTGCTAGGCACCAACCATGCACAAACCTAAGGATGCTAAGCACAAACATGCACAATCAAGATGAATAATACCTCCAACATTTGAATTAAACAATACCCAATGACAATCATTCAATTCACATAAAAGAAAACTACATGGTAGAGTTAGGGTTTCACAACACCCAAGTGAAAAGAAATCTACTCCATGCTCGAAATGGGAGAAACACAAGGAGAAGAGGTGGAAACCATCTTGGAGGAGGCTTCCAATCTTCTTGGCCCTTGTATTGAACTCTCCTTGGAGAAAATCTTCCCAAAATCCACCTTGGAGCAAAACCCTAGCCTCCTTCTTCTTTGGTTTGTGTTTCTCTCTCTAGAAATAAGAAGAAGGCTTTCTCACTCAAATGGGCTGCCTCCTCTCTCTTC